CATTTTAGTTTGGTTTGAGATACTCAGCTCTGTTGCAAAATGGCAGTAGCTTACACCAGGAAGTCCCTTCATATGTGATCAGAGCAATTGTATAGCGCATCTTAAAGCATATTAGAGGGGTAGATGCAAAGTCTGGTATTTAATTGGAGAAGGGTAGAGAGCTGGACCTATCATCCACTAAGTTTCGAACTGTGCGCCAGCTGGCCCTTGGGGATTTCTCATTTATCACAAAAGAAAAAAAAAAATTCAGCACGACTTCCACCTCCTCCTCCTATTTGTTTTTTTTTTTTTTTTTTTTATAAAATTGAGGTATTGAATAATTTGCTTTCATCTTATTGATTTATTTTCTTTGATGGTTTCTTGCATGTTTACCACTTTTTTGACACAACACGGATCGCACTGTTTGACATTCTCGTCTGCATCTATTTACAGATGAGTGGTTCAAGAATGAAAGTCGCCGGAAGATTCAAACCTTGTGTGCATATGGGCTGCTTTGATCTTGAAGTCTTTGTTGAAATGAATCAAAGGTCGAGGAAGGCAAGCATCTAGGACCCTTATCAAAATTTCTATCAGCTTAATTCAGATAAAAATGTCTCTTGTATCTGCTGATATATTTAGTAACAAATGTTGTTCATATGATGTAGTGGCAATGCCCTATCTGTCTCAAGAACTACTCCCTGGAGCATGTGATTATAGACCCATATTTTAATCAGATCACTTCTCAGGTATGGGTAATTATTTCTTGTTATCATACATTGTTTTAACCTTGTTGATCTCATTTATTATTCACTTCCCAGGTATTTCTAGTGTTGCTTGTGATCTTAACTCTGTTAACCTCAATTCTTGTTTGTGTTTCTTTTTGTTTTGGCTTTTCGAGTGTAGCTGCGAACTTGCGGAGAAGAAGTGACTGAGATTGAAGTAAAACCTGATGGTTCTTGGCGTGCAAAGGCAGAATGCGACCGGAGGAATCTTGGGGATCTAGCGCGGTGGCATTTACCTGATGGGAATCTCATAGAATCTCAGGATATAGAGCCAAAAACCAAGCCTGGAATTCTTAAGCGTGTTAAACAGGAAGGAGGCTCTGAAAGCCACAGTAGATTAAAAGTTGGGTTGAAGAAGAACAGAAATGGTTTGTGGGAAATTAGCAAACCTGAAGATATGCAGACATTGCCATACGAAAATAGTGTAAGAGAGAATTTTGAAAATCAGATTCAGGATATCATTGCCATGACCAGCAGTGCCACTGGTAGCGGCAAGGAAGGTGAAGATCTCAGTGTTAATCAGGATGGGGATGT